CGCGCGCGCGCGCGCGCGCGCGTGTGTGTGTGTGTGTGTGTGTGTGTGTGTGTGTGTGTGTGTGGTGTGATACGTTTGTATGTACAAATACACCTTTGGTAAAGATGATTTTAATTAAAAAAATATAAGAGAGATATAAAGAAATACTGTTAAATTATATTTTTTAAAAATTTATTCATTGAGAAAATGATCTGTTGCAACACCTTTCTTGTTACATTTCTCTACATTTGAGGCGAGATAATATCGCATTCTTTCTTTAGAAGATATCTTAAAAAGAACAAATATTATTTAATATTACATATATGTAAATAAAATATCGTATAAATATTGATACATCTATTGTGATTATGTAAAGCGGATTATAGCAATAAAAAAGTCTACTATTCTGCGCTTTTTGCAATGATTAGAGGACAATTACCGAAACTATCATTTCACTTTGTTTTTGGACTATATTTTTTTAAACAAAAGCTAAATATGAGACTTTAGAAATGTAAATACAAACTAGAAACTAAAAACTTATCTATCAAATGATACAGCAGTTTTTATAATATCGTTTCGTATTTTGCAATAATTAACTTTTTCATAAAATAACCAAAAATAAGCATCTAAAAAATTGAGCCTCAAAATTGATACAGTAAAGAATATTGCCAGAATTCAGATAATAAAAGGCCCTATGATGAAAGAGTGATAATGAAGTAATATAAAGTTAATAAAGCACATTAATTTTTCTTTTTGCTATTCTGTAAGATACACATAATAGCTGTAAGAGCAAATAATTAATCATAAAAGTTAAATTAGATTAAATTACCATGTCTTATGGTATCTGTTGGATCAATAGCTAAAAAGGAAAAAATAAAAAAAATAATTTTAAAAAATTACAAATGTATAAAATGTTTTAATATTATCAATATTATACTCACTATTATAATAAAACTATAATTTGTAAAAAAATATCGTAAGAAAAAATATCATAAGAATTTTATTATCATTTAAAAAATTGTTTTTAGCTGATTTTATATAGACACAGGCGCGCGAAAAATATATTAATTATGAGTTTTTATTACTTTAATAATCTACGTAAATCATGTTTCTATCAATATTATTAATATTTTTGTATTTATCAGTAATTATTTCCGTAGTATTATTTCCGAAAAATAAGAGTGTCTCTTTAGAAAATCCATGTCATAATTGACGACTTTTCTCTAATAAAATGTTAATTTATAAACATCTGTAAATGATTGTGTATTCGTATGAATAGACAGCCTAATGTTACGCGCAAGATATTTGAAGGGATGCTCCTTTATCATTTGTAGATCATATTCCCAAATCGCGCGTAACACTGGACTGTACTTTTGCGCCTGTGCACGCTCATTCTTTCTAATATTTTAAATTAATATCTCATTAATTATTGCGAAAATCGCAAATTGGTAGACTTTTTTATTTAGTAAATTTGCTTTACCTATTCACGAATACATTAGTAATTATGGAACATTTTGAATATATTTCTAACAAATTTAAATCTATTCTTCTTTTTTCACATAAACATGTACAAACATTAAATATAAGATGAATTCGCGCAGATTTCGAGATACGTATAATTAAACACACTGTGTCTAGTCATGCACTTGTGTGTGCATGTTTGTGCATATACATGCAAGAAACGTTTTCATAAAATTAAGATAAAAGAGATAGCGTATCAGTTCTGCGAGAAACAACAGAGTGAACGAACGAGAATTGAGGATTGGTAAGGATCTATCGACAAAACTAGGTCTATCTGCGCATATTTATATAAGACAATGCGTCGTACACTTTATGAAAACGTTTCTTGCATGTATATGCACAAACATGCACACACAAATGCATGACCAGACACAGTGTATTTAATTGTATGCATCGAAATCTGCGCGAATTCATCTTATATTTAATGTTTGTGCACGTTTATATGAAAAAAGAAAGGAATTCTGCGCACTGATTTGTTTTATTTACGGATTTTTTTCGTATAATGTGAAAATATGAACGATTTTATTTTCGTCTCTTTTGTCTTCTTTTCTCGAGGACTAATTTTAATTTTTTATATTTCATGTTAAAAATCAAAAGTTTACGAGCACAGATTTAAAAAGAAAGAAGTTCTTTTAACAATATCGATTTTATATACCCTTAAGATATATAATCAAATAAGATATAATTTTGGCAATTTAATTTTCAACAATGTATCGAAAAATGTAATTAAACAGCAATCGCTTCATTTGCATGAATAAATAGAATACAACAAAGATAAAATTTAAATTCACCAGGATTTTATCGATTGCACTCGCAAGTTTCAATATAACGAGCTTCCTTTCGACGGGATGCTTGTTTTGCTCCAACACTCGGTTAATTATCTTTACGGGCTTCGAGAGAAGCCTTTCGCGCAACTTGCGGGATCGGGTATACTGAGAGACGGTCATTTTTGCAGCAAGTCCTGGATAGGTGGATAGGTGGAAATGACCACTGGTTTCCCGCGGGACATGAAGGACGAGGGGGACCGAGGGAGATCAGGCCTCCAACAGTCGTATCGTCTGGCGCACTTGATGGAGTAGTCTCGCGGCTAATGTCGAGCGAAGGTGAGTACAAGCCACGACATGGACGACGAACGATGCCTGATTCATCACTTCGCCCAGTAGACGCTCGGAGTGTGCTCACGCTACTCCCAAGACGCAGACAAATCAACGTACATTCGAAAATCGGAAGAGGAAGCACTCGCGTGGCAGACCCGACCAAGTACCAATGGCCGTCAGGATCGATTGTAACTAGCATTCCCGCGAGGAGGAATCTGACTGCCCACTATATCTTTGAAGAGAATCAGACTTCGAGCGTATCGACTACAAGATTTATAACAAAATGTTTCAAATTAACATGATTTCTTTGCTCGAATTTCTTATTTAGAAATATATTAAGATACACGGTCGTGGATCGCGTCAAGTGTGCACGTAAAACGGGCGAAACGGGCGAAAGGACCGTGTATTTTTACACAAGTGATTCATTGCGATTATCTGAGATTATCAGATCACAGAAACGGCTGAATCGATTAAATTACTCGTATATCCAATTGATAGCTTGAATAAGAATTATAAAAAATTTTTTTA